TTTTGAACCACATCGCCAATGGTCTTAATAAATTAACACTTAACATTTCGACGACCTCAACCACGGACTAATAAGAGGTTCTGATCGACCAACCCTAACTTTCCCAACTTAATTCACTGTCAGCTATCATTTCTGGGGGAGGTGACTTTGAAGTCGTAACGTATATCCTAGCCATCTCGATCGATATAACTTCATAACGTCATCGATAAACTTACTCGCCCACAGGCATGATATCCAACTGAATTACTGCAGCAGCTTCTTGAAGACACTGATTGTTAACGACATTTGATGAAGTGTACTCGTAGTTAATAAATAAAAAATACGTCATCGTCAATACAGCGTTTGACTATACTGATAGAAACTCGGTTAGACTACTGATCACATGAGAAGTGTCCATTTTATAGAGGGGAATATATATGAAGACATTTTACCCAATATAATAATGCGGATACCTTCTTTAAGACTTGGTTTACACCTGTCGTATATAGGGCTTAATAGCAATACATAGTTGAAATGATATTCATCATACTCATTGGTATACTGAACAACTGGGAAATGTCCGACGAGATTGTACCCGTCCAGGTTGCTTATCCTGTAAATAATGTAGAGACAGTGAACAGAAAATATTTTGACTTGTTGGTTGAAAGTTGGCTTGTTAAAGCAGTAGGCGTACGTAGGCAGTACGTTAAACGGAGTGGATATCACTTATTTCTGTTTTTGTAGTATCAGTGTGTTTCATCTGGACGGCAACAAATATTGATTGTATTATACATCGCCAAATTACAGACGAATACAGGTCAAATATGAGGCAAAGAAATCAAATGAAAATTCAAACAAATAAACAAAGTCTCAGGAATTATACACGGAAGTGTACATGTAGGCATAATTACCGACGTCCAACAATCGGTATATTTCTTGACCTTAAGGTCGCATTCGATTCTGTCGACCGAGAAGTACTCTGGTAATGTTTGGCTGTAAACGGAATGCCGAGAAAATACATTGCACTGATCAAGGCACTCTACTCGAACTCATGCAGCCAGGTGAGGGATTACGGTGAGTTGTCATCTGAAGTGGTGACAACTAGCGGTGTCCGACAGGGATGCCAGCCCACTGTCCCCTTTTCTATTCAATTTCATCCTAGATGTACTAATGGACTTAACCCTAACTGCTGACTTCAGCGACTCAGGGATCGACTTGTTATCAGGGAATAATTTCGTTGACTTAGAATATATAGATGACATAGTCCTTCTAGGTGAGGACGCTGACGAAATGTAGAGTCTTCTGAACACCTTGAGCTGCAATCTGCGAATGTTTGGCATGCGATTCACTCCCGCCAAATGTAAAGTGATGTTACAGGACTGGACTACACTGACTTCTGGCTTGAAGATAGGGAGTGAAGTGGTAGAGCGTGTTGACCACTTCACTTATTTGAGAAGTTGCATCAGCCAGCGCCAATGGGTTGATCGCTGACTAAATCTCAGCACGGGTACAGAAGGCTCGTTTCACATATGACAGTTTACACCATCTCTGGCTTAGTAGACGTGATATCCGGCTATTGACCAAAGGGCGGATGTACTGCTCATCAGTCCGCTCCGTCCTCCTTCATGGCTGTGAGACCTGACCATTGAGGGTAGAGGACATGAAAAGGCTAGCTGTCTTTGATCGTAGGTCCCTGCGTTCTATCTCCCGTGTGAAATGGTATAATAGGGTGAGCAATATTGAGGTTAGGCCATCGGTCGAGTGCTAGGTAAAGAGGGGAAATCAATAGACGAGTCTGTGAAGTTAAATCGACTGAGGTGGTTAGGACATGTGTTATACACGCATCCCTAGCCATTGCCTTCCTCGACGGGCAATGTTAGTCAGCTGGCTTAAGGTCAGGTTGGAAAAGAGCTAGCCAGTGGTGGTCAAACCAAAACATCACTTCATCAGTCAATGAAATCCACATAGGAAGATGTAGACTTCCTGGTTGTTGGGGTCCTCAGGACGGTAAAAACTAATGGCTGTAGACAGTCGGTGATATGGCTCAAAATCGTTGTCAATGGCTAGCACAGATTATTATTATTATTATTAGTGCATCCTTTTATTCCTAGAGGAACATAGGGCTTCAGCCGTGCGTCTCCATTGCGTTCGGTTCTCTGCTAGAGTCTTCACCTGGCTCCATGTCTGCCCACACGTTTTCATCTCCTGTTCACATGACCTCCTCCAAGTCACCCTTGCATTGATGACCAACTCGCTGCTTCCCTTTCGGGTTCCACTTGAGCAATGGCTTGTCTAGTGATGTCACTTGATGGTTTCCTCATAGTATGGCCAATCCATCTCCATTTCCTTCTGCATATTTGTTTCACAGTCGGTTCCTGGTTGGTTCGCTCCCAGAGATCCCTGTTGGTGATCTTTTCTGGTCATCTGATGTTGAGTATTGAGCGAAGACAACTGTTAATGAAGGTCTGTAGTTTGTTTGAGATGCTCTTTATGACGCGCAGTGCAAGTCTCTGATCCGTATAGTAGCACTGACTGACTTCACATTGGAGTTGAAAATTCACATCTTATTTTTGATGCTGAGTGCTGTTGACCTCCACACACAGACTTGAGAGTAGTGAAAGCTTGTCTTGCTTTTCCGATTCTTGCTTTGATATCCTCGTCAGTTCCATCTGCCTTTCCATTTATGCTGATTGTTGTCTGTTGTTGTTGCTGTTGGTGTTGCCCAGGAATCTTCATCACCTCTGTTTTCTCTATGTTTACCTGAAGTCCTATCTTTGATACTTCTTCTGCCAACTTGTTGCTTTTCACTTGTATATTTTCCAGTTTGTGGGAAATCAGACATATATCATCGGCGAAGTCCAGATCCTCCAAGTATTTTGTGTGAGTCCATTTTATGCCTGTTTCCTCGCTGCCCACTGTCTGTCGCATTATCCAGTCTACCGCAATTAGGAAAATCATTGGTGATAGTAGGCAGCCTTGTCTTACTCCTGTCCTCACTTCGAAGGATTCTGTAAGTTTCCGTTGTGGGCATGTAGCATTGTCGTACAGCTGTTGGATGAGATGTATAATTGTCGGTGGCACCCCGTAGTAGCGAAGTAGTTGTCAAATCACCTCTCGATCGACGCTGTTGAAGGCCTTTTCAAAGTCGATGAAGTTGAGATAGAGAGGTGACTGCCATTCCAAACTTTGTTCAATGATGATCCGTAATGTGGCGATCTGAACAATGCATGACTTGTTCCTCCTGAATCCAGCCTGTTCCGGTCGAAGTTTTTCATCCAGGTTTTCATGTTTGATTGTCTCCAGGATGATGCGGCTTAGTATTTTGCTTGGGATGGACAGGAGCATAATTCCGCGCCAGTTCTTGCATTGACTTAGGTCTCCTTCCTTTGGTAGTTTGAATAAGTATCCTTTCTTCTAATCCCCAGGTACTTTGCCTTCTTTCCACACCTTCTCCAGTAGTGGCGTCATCAAGTCCGCTGTTGTCTCTGGGTCCATTTTCAATGCTTCTGCTGGGATTCCATCTAGTCCTGCTGCTTTTCCAGCTTTTAGCATCTTGATTGCCTTCAGGACTTCTGATTTCGTCTGGGTGTTGGTGTTCACTGGTAGCTCTGTCTCCGTTGTTGGTATTGTTGGGCGCGTTGTCGGTGGTGGTCGATTTAGGAGTCTTTTGGAGTGTTCAGCCCAGTGTTTCCTTTGCTCCACTTCTCTGGTGAGGGACTTTCCGTTGTCATCTTTCACCGGCTTGATTTGTGTCAAACGTTTGCCCGATAGGTACCTAGTTGTTTGGTAGAGTGTTGCGAGGTCTTCTTTGCCTGCAGCTTGTTATGCCTCACTTGCCATGGTTTCATAGTACTTTCTTTTGTCTTCTCTGGCACTCTTCTTTACTCTTTTGTTCAGTACAGATACATTCACTCCTTGTAATTTGTAATTTCTAATAAAACTATATAAATCATAGATATTACTATACCTTTGCCTCACACCTCTGTTTACTGTCTATATTATGCACTTCTTCTACTTTCTTCTCATGCTTTGTGTGCTACAAGGAGGGAGTGTGGCAACTTGAACTGCTGCACATCGGTGCAAAGTTCTACGTCGAAACAAGTCAGTCAGTAAGTAAGTAAGTAAGTAAGTAAGTAAGTAAGTAAGTAAGTAAGTAAGTAAGTAAGTAAGTAAGTAAGTAAGTAAGTAAGTAAGTAAGTAAGTAAGTAAGTAAGTAAGTAAGTAAGTAAGTAAGTAAGTAAGTAAGTAAGTAAGTAAGTAAGTAAGTAAGTAAGTAAGTAAGTAAGTAAGTAAGTAAGTAAGTAAGTAAGTAAGTAAGTCAGTCAGTCAGTCAGTCAGTCAGTCAGTCAGTCAGTCAGTCAGTAAGTCAGTCAGTCAGTCAGTCAGTCAGTCAGTCAGTCAGTCAGTCAGTCAGTCAGTCAGTCAGTCAGTCAGTCAGTCAGTCAGTCAGTCAGTCAGTCAGTCAGTCAGTCAGTCAGTCAGTCAGTCAGTCAGTCAGTCAGTCAGTCAGTCATTCAGTCAGTCAGTCAGTCAGTCAGTCAGTCAGTCAGTCAGTCAGTCAGTCAGTCAGTCAGTCAGTCAGTCAGTCAGTCAGTCAGTCAGTCAGTCAGTCAGTCAGTCAGTCAGTCAGTCAGTCAGTCAGTCAGTCAGTCAGTCAGTCAGTCAGTCAGTCAGTCAGTCAGTCAGTCAGTCAGTCAGTCAGTCAGTCAGTCAGTCAGTCAGTCAGTCAGTCAGTCAGTCAGTCAGTCAGTCAGTCAGTCAGTCAGTCAGTCAGTCAGTCAGTCAGTCAGTCAGTCAGTCAGTCAGTCAGTCAGTCAGTCAGTCAGTCAGTCAGTCAGTCAGTCAGTCAGTCAGTCAGTCAGTCAGTCAGTCAGTCAGTCAGTCAGTCAGTCAGTCAGTCAGTCAGTGTGCATGTAAGTGTAAATGTTGAAACTAGTCAGTTTTTTTATTCTTCATGAACCTACAAATATTGAATTTGTAATATTTTCGCTTTTTAACTATCTGAAAACTTTTTTTTATCTAGATTTGATAATGCGTCGTAACTACAGTCTTCAACCGGATAGAAAGAGTCGTCAGGCAAGGTAAAATTTTTTTTTAATTATTTGCCGTCATACGACTTGATAATTACTTTTCCAGACCAACGTCTGTTATTGGACAAGAACAAAATCCTGTAAATCGTGATGTGAAATACAAATCACAGAATAACGAATCGGTTGAAAGTTTAATGCAAGTAAGAGAAAAGTATAGTTGAGAATTATCTCACCAAAATGGAAATAACAGTTTTTAATAAATACAAACTACAACAGTCCTTCACCCGAGGCTTCATCGACACTGAATTCTAAAGAGATATTCTCAATGTTTGAGCATATTGTTCGTCAAATTGATGATACATTTCGCATTGAAGGTGGTGGGATGAAAACAGAAGCAGTATTTGTAAGGTAAGGGAAATCCATTTTAATTTTCGTTGTTTTGTTTTTTTAAAAGAATTACTAATTCTCTTCTTCTTCTTCTATGTGCAGTACTCTTAAGAAGTTTGGCTATCCTAACCCTCTGAGTAAACTACATCTAGTCGCACCTGGTGCTCCTCAGGCATGGAATTCCGTTGTAACCGCAATGATTTGGTTAATAGAAGGCGTGGTGCATGCGAAACAAGTAATTACTGTTTTCTAATCACTTATGCATATCCGTTTAATCCTTGTAACCAGAGGGTCCTGGGTTCGAACCCCGGTGGGCGCGTGCTGACGAAGAGTCCCAGACTAGGACGAAACAGCTGTCCAGTACTCCATGGCAGGTTTTCCAATGGTTCTCTAACCAATGTCAGCTCATGATGAAATCCTGTAACCCATCAAATCCCTGCAAACCAATACTTGAATATCAATGAGATGCTCACTGGCTACTGGCCCTATTCAGGTAGGTAGTTACCTGGGGTTCTAGTGGGAAGTCGTGACCAGTAGGGTGCAGCAGGTCGGGTGTGAAGACAAATACTCGCCGAAGACATTGGCTATCGGTTGCGCTGTATCGTGAATTGGCAGAAGTTAGAACTAGTGGGCCATTGGATCGGGTCCCAGTGGCTTAATGGTCTACGAGCTCGTTAGCCTTGTAACCAAAGGTCCTGGGTTCGAACCCCGGTGGGTTCCTTCTGCTGAAGAATCCCAAACTAGACTGATGAAACAGCTGTCCAGTACTCCATGGCAGGTTTTCCAATGGTTCTCTAACCAATGTCAGCTCATGATGAAATCCTGTAACCAATCAACTAAATCCCTACAAACCAATACTTGAATACCAAATTTTTTCTTTTGTTTTAGTTCAGTGAATTTGACATTCCCGTTGCTGAAGGTGATGGAAATTCCATTGAGAAAGCAACAGTCAACAAGTTTATTCATAAATTGAAGTTATCCTTGTTTAAGAGAAAACGCGGAGTCCCTAATATTACTGACTCTGTACTTCAGGTATGTTTTTATAATTGTTAAGGTTTTTTGTGTTATTTTTTTGTTGTTGAGTGTTTAACTACTCCATATGAAATTGATCCTGTTACACATGTGATGGAGGTTGGAGTGTAGGATAGTCAGAGTTGTCGGATCGAGATGATGGGTGGATACAAAAGACTTGTGATTGTGATCTTTTCAAGTGATATGGTATCCATTATTCTGGTAAGTTGTATTGTAACAACAGAAAACAAGGGTCAGGCAACAGATCGTTTATTATGGAAAATCAACACATATTTATAGATTTTAATATACATTATGGTAGATTGTTGTTAGTAGAAAATGCAGTCTTTTGATTGGTTGTTTCTCACAGAAAGTTAACCTTGCATCTCTTTGTGGCTGTGTCAGATCATCCATATGCTAACTGTATCCGCCTACGCAAAGCCTTTGTTCTCATTTTCTCACCACCAATATTGGGGACATAAACATTGACGTCAATTACTGTCTACCAACTTTGGCTAGCAGCCAGCTCTCACCACAGTATTATCAGTCGTCGATGTCGTTCATCTTGTGTTCTGTGCGCAAATGTCTGTGAAACGTGTACACGGGCATAAGAGAGGTTTTAGCAATGATAACATTCAACCATCCTATAAAATTCATTAGGAAGATAAAAATGATCAAAAGCAAAATAAAAATAAGGGTGGAGCTAATAATAATAACATAAATGAGAAAGAATATAAGGCATCTACAGTTTTACCATATACACGAACGGGACATCTGAAACCCTCCCTATGTAGGATTCTTAATAAAGCAGGAATTAGGGAGACATTCAAACCTACAAACTCACTCAGGAAAAGCTTATAGGCTAAAGGACCTGGCAGACCCAATTAAACAAAATAACATAATTTACAAAATACCTTGCAATGACTGTTTAAGTCAAATACATAGGTCAAACTAGTAGTTTAGGGGTAGTGAGATTATCAGACCAAACAAGAATCCTGTAACCAATCAATCAAATCCCTACAAAACAATACTTGAAAATCAATGAGATACTCACTAGCGACTGACCCTGTTCAGGTATGTTCTATGGGCAAGTCGTGACCAGTAGGGTACAGAAAGTCGGGCGTGAGGACACTTACTCGCCGAAGACCATTGGCTAGCAGTCGTGCTATTTCGTGAATAGGCATAAGTTGGAATTCATGGACTGGCCATTGGATCGGGTCCCAATGGCTTAATGGTCTACGAGGTAGCTCGCCTCGTAACCAGAAAGTCCTGGGTTCGAACCTTGGTGGTGAGGGAGTACTGCTGAAACATCTCAAACTAAGACGAAACAGCTGTCTCGCAGTATTACTTGTTGGTTTTCCACTGGCTCTCTAACCGAAGTCAGCTCATGATGAAATCCTGTAAGCAACTTAGCTAAGGTTAGAATGATTGATCCCACGAAGATAAGTAATTTAGAAAAAAAACTCAGTAATCTCACTGCATGCATTAACACACAACCACACAATAGGGTGGGTGGCAGGGACAGAGTCAAAATTCTAAAGAGTGATATAGGTAGGTGGAGATAAAGAGAGATTGATTACTGAATCCTGCCTGGTTCATCGAGTCTCCCTACACCCAACACATGCAGTAGAAGTGAGTCAACGCAAATACCAGAGATATAGAAGATACTATTACCACCAGTCAGTCAAATCAGAGGAGGATAATAAATAATGTTAAAATGTATTCCATCAATTCACATTCTAACATTCTAACAAGTTACTTATTTATTTTACTATAAAAACACTCATCTTATTTCCCATCTGACTGTATTTGATTGATAACACTAATAGTATTATTTCCGAATGTACTTTATCTTATATTGATTTTATTCAAATGTCTAATCATTAATTTTTACTCGTGTATGTAAATGAAGCAAGAAAGTTGTGTGAGTGAGTACCTTGATATGATTATGAGCAGCAATAAACTGTGCTCGGAATGTGGTTACCAGTAAATATTACTATATAATACGGTGTGATCTTGTCAAAATAATGTAATTGTACATGACCACACTGTCCAAGTTTTATCCTTACATAACATTCGACATTTGAGCTTTTTGTTGTTGTGTGGCCATCATGGGGTAAGCAGAGAGAGAGAGAGAGAGAGTATGTCGTGAGATAGGCTGAGGTTTTTGGAGTAATTGATCGAAAAAATATTTGAACCATCTCATATCTTTTTTTTTCAAACTGGATTGTGTTAAATGACAAAAAAGAGTTGGGTGTAGGAAAATCTAAAGGTTTGCTGGACCGAGTTCAATACAATTCACAAAGTTGGTAGTTTTTGGTGTAAATAATGTACTAATGTGTGTAGACTTTGCTGATGCAGTCATTAAGAAATCGAAGCGTGTCGTTGTTGTTGTTGTTGATGTCATTATCTTCTCATGGTCTAATTCTTCAATGCGGAACGGTTATTGTGGTGTCTATGTCATGCGTTCACCGAACTTATTGTGCGTTTGGTATGCACATAGACTGGGG